GAAGAAAATGCTTTCTTAAAGTTAAAATAAAAAAAAAAAAATCCAAAATTTGGAGAGAAACATTTGATATTTTGCTTTAATGCCTTCTTAATTTAGGCCATATCTTATTCTATGATTACAGATTATATTTCTTAAAATTTGTCGTTTGAGTATTTTGACCTGATCAAATTTTTATTTCTCAACTGAATTGAAGAATGGTTCGTAAAATTTCATTTTTAAGGTAATGATGTGACACAATTGCATTTTGTATGGAAGCATAGCCAAAGGGATAAAATCAACAAGTAGCCTGCCCCCAGGTCCCCATTCAGAATGAAAACATTACAAAAAATAGGTATTTCCTGAGGGGCAAAAAAGTAAATTTTTAACTAGGTTGATCTTTCTAGATCTTAAATCTTTTTACCAGGCCATCTTTCCTGAGGTTCAAAGTCCTTCCTTTTCTCTTCAAGAGCCTTGTGGGTTCAGCACAATAACTCCATAAAGAGCATTTTGGAGGATGTAGCATATGTAAGAAAAGCAGTAACAACTTAAGCCCTGCATGTCTAAAAACCCTTCCTGGACATCTGCAAATGACACTTCCCCAAAATTCCTTTCCACAGCCTGGCTATATTTCTGCAGAACCCCTAGAAATCACATCTCCAATCTCTAGCACAAAACCCTGTTAAACTCCAGCAAATTCAGCAACTTGAATGTGTTAAGATCTCTTTAGAGAAATGATTGAAGGGAAAGTTTGAGAGTAATGGTTCTCCTGAACCCAAGAGGCAGAAGCCATACTTATGGATAAGTGAAAAGATAAGGAGTTTATTTCTTCGTAGTGGATATTCCTTTCTAGCAAATGGATTGCATAGAAAATGTTGCATGTGCATGTGTCTCTGTGTGTGTGTGTGTGTGTGCCTGGCAAAGAAGCATTTCTAATATGCTTTCAGATTAAGGTCCATCAAAGTAGGATTTTTTCCCCCCTTTTTTCCTATTTTGTTTCATTGTGGATTTTGGTTATTGCCTGCCAGCATTCCGTGCCTGAATCTTCCCTTCAGGCCCCAGGGGAATCCTGCAGCCCCACGGTGAGCAGTGCTGTGCTATGCCTGAGCAGCGTGGGGCGGACATGGGGTGGCCACTGTCATGCTGCTGGCTGCAGGTGACACAGCCAGCCTGGCTCCCACTGAGGGGAAGAGGATGAGTGTGTACCTCAGGCTTCTGGAGGCACAGACCTCAGAATCAATCAGACCTCAATCGTCCTCACGCCTAATTGATACCAGAGACAAAAATCCAATAGCTTCTGGACACTTTGTAAAAACACCAAGCACAGTCCAAATAATGACAGCACCAAAAGCTTGCATCATAAAAATCTCTTGGGCTAAAATGGATATAGATACTTGCAGAAGATTTTTCTTTCTTTCTTCAACATAAAGATTTAAAGGAGGGAGAAGTGTCACAAGATAGGCAATTCCTTTCAGAGAGGTTTCTTTATATATCTCCATGTGAACACTCTCAGTAAAGGAAGAAAAAATAATGCTCTGAAACAAAATTTGTACAGAGGTAGCTTTTTTTTTGAAATGACATCCCGTTTCCCAAGAATTCTATGTAGCCTTTAGTCAGTCTTGTTTCTTACAGTTCTCTGTGCTTTGCATGGTAATTAGCTGCTCGTGTTATCAGCAGCATGACGCTCCCGGCTATTTCTCGAGCAGTGCTGCCGTTATCCTGGGCGGCAGCTCCGCGCATCCCCCGCCAGCCCGCATGGCAGCAGCTCTGGGTGCAGAGCTTGGCGCTCTGCAGGCTCTGCTCACCGAGGGACGAGGGCAATGGGCACAGCATCCCAGGGGAAAAAAGAGGCTGAGCCCACTTTCCCTGACAGGTCCCCAAGACTTGCCGGTATTTCAATGATGGTCCACTGGAGGTTCAGTGAGGCAAGTTTGTTATGACAGATCGCAAAACAGAAGGGAAGACAAACGAGACTGGTTCATCAGTGTCAGAACAAACACAGGGGAGCAGCTCCTCAGCTTAGTTTGCAACAGCAGCCTCAACACCTTTATTCAGTTTTAATTTTAATTTTAGAAATAATAATGAAAGCCTTTATTGAATGTCCTGTGGAGGGACTGCTTTGCAGAGCCTGCCAGCAGTGCTGACATCAGCCGTACACAGGGGCCACGTCACCAATGCAAGAGCGCTCGGATGGGGAAGTCCACCCAAGCAAATAGTGTGTCAAGGGCTCCCTACCGCTAATGCAATCCCTTCTTTTAATTTACATTTCCAGAAACATGTGCCAGCTTTTTTTGCGTTTTTTTTTTCAAGTTAAACTGTGGCCAGGAAGTTAAATTCAGTTTGCCAGATTCCATGGCAGCATGTGTTCCTCTGTAACGTCAGTAGAGGTGTAGTGGATGGTCTAGAAAGTTTGATATCAACAGTAATGTTAAGATGTTCATAAATACTAAAAAAAGAAAAATCAAATTTACATTTGGCACTCAAGAGATGAAAAACAAAGAGGAAAATGTAGAAATTGAGGGAGTTTTCCCCAAATATTATATCAGTTTTACATATCTTGTCTTTGGTTTTGTGTTTCCAGCCTATTTTTCACTCTTTGAAATGGTGCATGATGATACTGAGAGGGAGATGTGAAAAGCTTTTACTTCCTGCCCAGAGAGATGATGGGCTAGAAAGAAAACCTGAAGTTTTAGTTCTGGGGTAGTAGAAGCAAAATTTCTTGCCAATGAGTACTTACAGACTTTTTTCACTACACTTCTAGGGAAGTTATTTAATTTTGTAACAGACGCTTGTTCCTAATCCCAGTCTGAAATAGCCTGCTGCCAAATTCACATTCAGTATTTTTATCCTCACAGAGAAAGAGATCATCATTTTATCATATGTTCAATGTGCTCTATACAGCATAAGATCATATGGTCATCTCATCCCTTCTGTAAGATGGCAATAGACTAGAACAGACAACTTAAGGATGGCAGTGAATTTGTTGCTCTCTAAACAAGGCACTCATGATGAGGGCTTTGCATTTTCCACTGTTAGTGGGATACCAAGTGAACAAACTGGGGCTTGGGGAAGGAAAGGGAAGAAATAGATGGAAACCCACAGAGAAGAGAAAAATAGCAATTATCTAATATTAACTTTTAAATTATTAAATATACAGAGATTGTTGTGTCTCTCCATCTTGCTAGGTTCACTGGCAACATGAACACTTGCACTCCTGCTCCTGAGACAGGCATATCACAAATGGTGTTGTGCAGCTCCTCAGGGGGAGGTCTGAGGTCAAAACACGGCTATCTGCTCAGGGCAGCAGCTTCTCTTCAGCATCCATATATCAGATATGAGTAATTCTTCAAAGTCTGACTTCACTACATGTACCTTTACCTTTGAAATCAGTGGCGTAATTTGTAGTGAACTGTAAAGCTGATGGACTGTGTTTCACCAAGAAGAGTTGATGTGATTAATTTGTTTGTTGAGGGCCATATTCACCAAAGATTTAGCAGAAGTTCAGGCAATAAAACACTTAGGACTTCTTATGAATTGGCATGAAACAATAGTCACAAAAATTAGAAAACATAAGTTGTTCTTCTGTATATACATGGCTGCTGTTCTCCTGACTTTGGTTACAGCTGGTGGGCTTTAAGCAGTTGAAGATCCAGATGTCATCAGTCCCTCAGCTCAGACTGGAGAGTGGTGGTAAAAGTTTCCAGGACTTGCACAAATTGGTCAGTGCAATCATTTGGCTTTAGTAGGCATTTTTGAAAATGCCTCGTGATTTTTTCAGAGCACAAATACAGATGTGGTAGAGAAGTCTGTTTTCCAGATGAGAAGACCTTCATTTGGAAAAATGAATTGCTTTGATATATCTCCAGGTGCACACATGAAAATTCAGAGCATCCAGGGGTTTTTTGAAAACAAGAGAATTCCAAGCTCACCTCTCTGCTAGCTCTTTGGGAACAGTAATTACCAGATGGATTTTTTTCTATCCCCCTTTCCCCACATGGGAAGATCTCAAACCCCTGCTTTGTGATTTAGTTCTGTTCTGCTAAAAGAAGAAAGCCTTTTTTGGGGGGATTTTCAGGGAGTGTAGTGTGGTGAAGGAAATCCCCAGACAGCTTGCTGGAGGCAGCAGCCACCTGTATCTTGTGGAGAGTTGTAGGAGATGGGCACCCCCTCGGCATCAGCACCTCCATCCAAGTGTGCCCTCTCTTCCCAGGTGTGCCAGGCAGTGTGAGCAGCCTGTGGGCAGGGGGCAGGCAGGAGGGAAGGGATGTGTGTCTCACACTGCCTCGTCCTCGTTGGTAGAAGTTTGGGTCCCAGTGAACACCCAGGCTGAGCACGCAGGTGAGGCACTGTCTGGATGGTCTCCAGCTGCCCTGCCAAATCTCTGATTTCCCCTCTGCAGAGTAGCTCTGGAGTGAGTCCTACTGCTTGGGAGAGCCGAATTCTTCTGTGCCCTCAGTCCCACAATGCAGGGGTGGCCTTAGAGTTGGCATTTTAGGAAATCACAGCTTCTCAGGACTGCTGTGCCCACGCTCAGTGTTGCTGCCTGCAGCTCTCCCCTCAGCATCACATCTACATCTGCCCTACACATCCTCAGCCTTTGCACAGTCTCACTGCAGAGCTCTGCTGCACAAAGGATGTGGAGAGATGTTATTTACTTAATAGAAATAAATGCACATTGGATCCATGTACATGCAATAACTTCTTTGCTTCTGCTTACTCATACACAGTAGAGTCCAAACTGCAAGAACAGCACTCAAAAGTGGTGTGAAAAAAAGTCTGTTGAATTTATAGAAATATGTTGCAATCATATGTAAACACAGTAAATATTTCATCTCCCTGTGGTGCTGATAGGGAATAATTTGGGAATTTTAAGCAGTGCAACTTTTCAGATGCTGGAAAGACTTGGTCTCATTTTGAATCTATAATAGAGGTTGGAATATATTTCATGTGACAACCATGTCCTCAGACCTATTTGTTATTTCTTTTTATAACATAAACAAACTGTCTTCTCATTTTGTTTACAGGACAGTGGAACAGGAGATAACAGCTGCATTGAAGAAATATTGCGGGTAGGAATCCTAAAAAAATCATTTTTTCCAGTCCAATTTTGTTTGCTCTGAAAAGACAAGAGAATAACAAGAATATTGCAATTACTGGTGTTAAAATTTTCCCCTTTTAGATTGTCATCTTTCTAAGGAAAAAGTAGGCAAAATTATTTCCTCATGAAAAATAATTGAAAAATCGGTGAGAACAACATTTCAAAGCCTGTGGATTTCACTGCTACTTTATGCCTGTACAGCTGACCTTCATGCATGGAGAAGCAGATAATGGGATAAATTATAAACTGAAATGTACAATGATGTTTCAGGTTTACAAACCATGCAAAGTGCATGTTTCCATTAATCATGACTGTCAAAAATCTTAATTTTGAAGGGAGGTCTAGGAAGGTCATTTTCCACCTGGATTTAATTATGTAATGTCATTATTTTCATTATGTCCATTACATAATGACAATGTGCAAAATCTGTAGTTATTTCCATATTTCATTATTATTTCTTTTGTCTTTGTAATTTCTAGTTTATTTTCATGGAGTAAATTAATACACATCCAGACAGATCTTGGCTTGAATTAACTTGGATATTGATTATTTTCTGTGGCAGAAATATTTATAAACAGTGAAAATTTTCTGTAATATTTTAATTCATGGTTATTTTGGTTCATTTTCAAAAATGATAATTTGATAATTCACAATGCTTAAAAGTCTGATGTAATAGTGATTGAAACACAAAGAAAGGTAGATGGAATGATAAAACCTCCCTGTTAGCTGTATGTGCTTCTACCTCTTGGATATTCCATCACCCAAATATTTCTGATGATTTATAAACTACAGAGTTATAAATATTTGGTTTGGAGGTTAGCACTACATCAAGCCTGTTGTTTCTAAAGGCATTTCTCCATTCTCCCTCAATATGTTAAATGCAGCTTTTAATTCTTAAACTGGACGAAGAGTTTAGGGAAGGGTGATGATGATATATTGCTTAGGACTTCACTGGCAGAGCTTTTGCTTAGCTAACATTTACAAAGTAGGCTTTGTTAGGACTTACATGCATATTCAACAAGTCTAAGCCACAGTCCCTGCTGGTTTGTTACAAATTAGTGGCAGATATCATGAATTCATGGTGTGATGTGACATTTAGGCTCCCATTTTCATTTTAAAGCAAGGCTTTTAAAATTAGCAGTCAGAGAAACTGGTCTTCCTCCTTTAGTTTCTGTAGTTTGGCTCATGCCATTAAGCAAAAATGCAGAAGAGGCACAATTCCTTCCACACAGAGGAAGATGGGTATGTAAGAGACCCCATCTGAGAAGAAAAATGCACTGTTTGGCTAAAGATAGTAAGGTGCGTCTCCAAAACAATGAACACAGCTGCTGCTGTCTCTTTTTTTTCCTTTGGAATGTTCCTCAAGAAATATTTTTGTCAAGCTTCATGATGAGTAACCTCACCAATCTGCCCATCTTCCATGTCTGCAAACCTGGGCACCACTTTCTGTTCTGACCTGCCCTTATGTCTCTGTGTCTAGGACTACACGTAAATCTCCCAGACTGCTACTCTATAGTATTTCTGACTGAAGCTCTTTATTCTCAAGGGTGTAAGTCTTTGATCCAAAACCCTCTTTACACAGTTTGATTGCTGCTGCATCCTTTCCTAGTTTTTGACAAATGCAGTGTTACCCACCTCCATTCATGCTGCTGCACAGATCATTTTCCTAGCTTGACATCTTGCCCAGAGACATCTGTCTTCACATCTCACCACTGTCATCTCCTTCTCTATCACATCAAGTACAGCTATTTGTCTCTGATTTTAAGGCCTCCAGTCCATGCTAACATATTAAATCCCAATTTTAGCTTAGCTAGTGATGTCAAAAAGTTGCTAAGTTTTGCATCAACTAATTTCTCCAATACTTCCCATCAGATCTGGGAAGAGCCTTGAAAACTTTCCCAATCAGCTCCATAGCTACCTCCAAATCTTAAGGAGCTCTTTTTTCCCCAAGGATGGTGGAAAACCAGTGATGAGGTCAGGGCTCTACCACTGTTTCTTATGCTTGAACATTTTTCTCCCAATTGCTTCTTGTAGTACTCTGTCAGGTCAGATATATCCATCTGCTCTCTTTTATACTGAAAAGTGGATTTTCTATGTCAAGGAACTGCTGTGTATTACAAAAGCAGTGCTTAGGTACTCTCGTAATACAAATCCAGATCTGCAGTTGTTGTTGCTACTGGTAATTACTGAAACAGCAGCAGTAATAATGTGCCTTTGCTGCTCACTTTGTAATTTACTGGCATCTAGACATTTCCATCCCTCTCCATGCGCCCTTTTTGTCCTGAGCAGATCCATGAAGTTGTAACACAGGTTTTCTACTTTTCTGAAACAGACTGTTTATAAGGAATGCCATTTCCATGGTTTTGTTGGAGGTGCTGTTCACATCATAAAGCCAAACTTTAGCTTCTTTTCAAACAGAATATATGAAGTTGCTATACGGGTGCCCAAAGGCAGACAATGAAAAGCCACACCATCTGAAATACTTGTGTTCCCCTCAGAAAAGATGGTTGGCCTGCTGGAATGTGTTTATTATGGGAAGAACCACTCCTAATACATGGAGCATCAGCAAAAGGAAGAAGATGCTTAAAATCCATCCTTTTAAGGAATGTTTCACCCTACTTAGGCTGTCTGTTGCACAACACAAAGCAGAAAACATCCCCTCTTTCTAGGTGATGTGTTCCCTGCACAAGTCAGGCTGTGGCTTTTCCATGAAACAGATACTTCCATGGCATGTCCATGTTTCTGCAGTCAAGAGTGAGGGCAGTAGTAAGTGTGTCCCGGGTCTGCTCCATCTGCTTCCCTGTGTTCCCTTCCCCCAGCAGGTGAGAAGAGGCAGGTTTGTGCATGGATCTTGTCATGCTCTGGTTCCAGCATGTGGCCATGGCCAGAACTAACATCTGGACCTGGGCAGCAAGTCAGTTTAGGCGTGGCTTTAAAATCACCAAATCTGATGTTGCACTCACTGTGACAAGATTTTATAGGTTTTTTTTTGCTGTCTGCTGCAACACAGGTTGCCACAGCTTAAGTCTAGCCTTTTTTGATGTTGTTTTACCAAATGTATCGAAGCTCTATAGACTTTGTAAACTGACAGATCCTTCTGCACAAAACTGCAGCTTCCAGAGAATGCCCCCAAGTACTGAAGCACAGAACCTCTTCCAGTCCTGAAGGAGGTTGATTAACAAGACAGTAACCCTGTTGAGATTGGAGCTGTTGTAAGGCCTCCTGTAGAGTTTATAATCACTGCAGGAATCCTGAACCTCATCTAACCCCATGCACTAATTTATAGCAGCTTCTTCAAAGTGTGCTGACTTCTCTGTCCAGCTGCAGGCACACACTTTGAGGATAGAGAAACTTCTGAGAGCCTTCAATGTAAATAACTCCAGTAAGATCAAGTTAAAGATGTAATGTTGAAACATGAGAGAAAAACCTCATTTCTTGCTAGTAGATTTAAAAGGCAATTCCTTGTAAGCTTTGTATTGTTCATGGAGGACATGATAGAAAACTTTGAAGTGGAAAATAAAAGTTAAGACTTCACAAATACCCTTTGTTCCACCGTGCATGGAGCAGTTGCTATGTGAGTTCCTGAGACATTGCCAAAGCCAACCTACTCACTTCCTTGCTAAAACACAGGCTGGCCAAGCAAGATTACTTCAGTTCTGGGGTCCCCAGCACAGGAAGGACATCAACCTGTTGGAGCAAGTCCAGAGGAGGCCACCAAGCTGATTAGAGGGAAGGAGCACCTCTCCTGTGAGTAAAGGCTGAGACAACTGGAATTGTTCAGCCTGGAAAAGAGATGGCTTAGGGGTGACCTAATTACAGCCTTGCAGTACCTAAAGGAAGCCTAAAAGAAAGAGGGAGAAAGACTTTCCACAAGAACATGTAGTGACAGGACAAGGGGGAATGGATTCAAACTAAAAGAGATTAGGTTTAGATCAGATACTAGGAAGCAACTCTTTACTCCAAGAGTGGGGAGGCACTGGAACAGGTTGCCCAGAGAAGCTGTGGTTGCTCCATCTCTGGAGGTGCTTAAGGCCAGACTGAATGGGGCCCTGAGCAGCCTGGTCTTATGGAAGGTGTCCCTGCCTCTGGCAGGAAGGTTGGAACTAAAAGATCTGGAAAGCCCCTTCTGACCCAAACCATTGAGTCTGTGATTCTATGATAGTAATTTTGGCTGATTTCTATTTGACTTTATTAGTGTGTGGAGCTCTGTATTTTACTATGACTGGTGGGGTTTAAAGTAAACATTTATTTTACTGTAGTACCTTCAAAAACAGGAGCAACAAGAATCCTGCCTCTCCACTAAGTTAACTGTTGCAGTCAATATAGGAGGCACTCTGAGAATATTTGCTATGGAGTTAAGTAAGGGAGTGTGTTGAGTGCAGGCAGTTCTTGATTTGTAAGGTAAGTGGAGATTGATCTGGCTATTCTTACAGTCTTAGCTGTGATTTCCTAGAGCTGTGGTAGCTTTGTTGGAAGGAGACCCACGGGCAAGCTGAGCTTTTGATTATTGAAGAGGTTCCTTGTGAATTCCCTGGATATTTTGTTGACATGAGCAGTGTCATTGAACTGGGTAGAGAGAGGCATAGTTTGAGTGTTTGGCCTGCAAACAGTGTTTGGCTGCAGAATGAGAAGACAGCAGGAAGCTGGAGGAGAAACAGGAATGCAGAGAAAGGGCCGGAGAAAACCCAAGCACAGCCAGTTAACACAGAAAAAGCCACGTCCCTTGAAATGGCATGGAGCAGTGGGGAGACAGGCTGGGGTCTGCAGGGGAGGATAGATAATTTCTTTCAGAAGAGATAGAAAAAGCCATTGGGAGGCAGTGAAAGGACATGGACTCCAGCTGTGAACATCCGCCCCAGTGAAGGACAGCTCTCCTTGGTACCATGAACCTCCTGTGCAGGGAGGGATAAGCACCCACAGATGGCCTTGAAATAGGTTGTGACTCCTCATGGCCACAGGACATCCACTTAT